TTGAACACAGTCTACGAAAAATGTCCTAGATCCCAGACCATTTGTCGGGTTGGAAAATGTCTTGACTACTCTGGGCATACACAGCAAAAAAATCATTTTGTTATCACATCAAAGTGGATGCACTTCAATCATGTTAAAAATATGGTGTAATATTACTTGCCAAAAAGGACAAAATTATCATTTATACAGTGCATGAACTGACATTAAAAAAAATTAGAAGGGTATGTGCCTAGGGGCACGAACGAAAGCTTGACGTAGGACCGCTATTGGACGGAATAAATGAGTAGAGCATTTAGTTCATTTAATTAATCAATCATCTATTATCTTTACTCTTTCCGTTTTTGAATTGTAGGTGTACCAAATTTGTAGTAATTTTTTTCAAACACAGCAAAAAATAAATTTTAATATTACATCCAAGAAGATGCACTTCGATCATGTCGAAAATCTAATGTAATTTTTATGGCCACAAAAATAAACAAATACAGTAAAAGCAACGTAATATCAGTTCATGCACTGTATTAATGATAATTTTGTCCTTTTTGGCAAGTAATATTACACCATATTTTCGACACGATTGAATTGCATCCACTTTGATGTGATATTAAAATTAATTTTTTGCTGTGAAGAGAAAGTTGATGAAGAGAATCAATCAAAATCTATTGCACCCCTGCTTCCAAGTTTGGTTACAAGATTACAACTCTGGAGAGCATTTTGTGTGGTCATCGGGGGCCTTTGGTTCTGAATATAGACAAACAAGCACAGATAAATTCTATTCCAACTCTTTACTGTTATAAACTTAAAGGCCATTTTATTGTAGAGGACATCTATGACCACTTACGCTTGGCGTGTTTAGTGTAGGTGACAGCATCACGGACCTCATTTTCCAGGAACACCTTCAGCACACCTCGTAGATCAGACCGGAGATACGTTTGACACCACCACGGCGAGCCAGACGACCGATGGCGGTTATCTCGAAGAACTTTGCGATGACGCTTGGCGCCTCTTTAACCAAGACCTTTTCCTCCTTTGACACGACCAGTCAATTGTTGCTTGTTGGATGTAAAAGAGTGAACTATCCACCGCCTACTACTGCTACTATTGCTGACCGGCGTGGTCCGAAGCGAAAATGAGTTGATGCTAGTAGTAGTAAAATTATGTTTATTTCTGTTGATTATGGTAGTACATTGATTTATCATTTTAATTTATTAGCCTACCTGGCTCTTCATCTTTGTTTAATTTGATATTCTAATTTAATATTTGCGTTTTTCAACTAGTTTACAGAATACCCCTTTGGGGATGTGTTTTATTTGAATTGAAAAAAAAAAGTGACAACCTACCTAACTACGAGTATAACTTAACCTAACGTGCTAGATCACGTATGATCTGATGATTTGATCTCAGACAGGTGTCTCTGAACCTTTCCAGGATGAATATTCTCCATTCTTCTAATGTCTGAATTCCAGGTGGATCTCAGAGTTTCTAGTCCGCGGGGACTGTTTAGGACCATCATAAGGATCTTCTCCTGGATCCTTTGGAGTTTAAGGAGATGGCATTTTGCGCAACTCTCCCAGATTGGTAATCCGTACTCGAATACAGGAAGCATGATTTTTTTGTAGACAGCAAGCTTATTTTTCAGGGACAGGGTTGACTTCCTGTTGACAAGTGGATGCAACGATCTTATCAAGATGTTGCACTTGGTTTTCGTTCTGTCAACGTGCTCCCTGAAAAGAAGCTTGCTGTCTAGTGTTAGCCCGAGGTACACGACCTCTTTGGACCATTCCACCACTGTTGTTATTCTCCGACGGAACAAGTCTGGAAGTTTTACAGTGTGGAAAGATAATGAACTGGGTCTTTGCCGCGTTGATACGGATCTTCCAGCTGTTGAAATATTCAGACAGGACGTCCAGGCCTCTCTAAAGTTTGGCAATCAGAGCTCCGATGACCCTACCCTTGTAGACGATGAATGTATCATCTGCGAACAGAGACAACGATCTACCATCAGGGAGAGCCGGCATATCGGAGGTGAACTGGTTGAATAGGATGGGGCCAAGGATGCTTCCTTGTGGAACCCCGGCACCGATGTTGAAAGCATCCGATGTGATGCCATTCAGAGAGACTTGGAACGTCCTGTCTGATAGATAGTTGTTTATGATCTTCACTAGGAAGATTGGAAGACCGTACTGCTGGAATTTGAACACCAGGTCATCATGCCAGACATTGTCGAACGCTTTTTCGACGTCCAACAACGCCATGGCAGATGTTTTCGAAACAGAATTGTTCCGTCTGAGAATGTTTGTTACTCGAGTCAGCTGGTGGACGGTCGAACGACCTTTCCGAAAACCAAACTGTTCCTCGAGTAACAAGTTGTTTTCATCGGCAGATGTTAGGAGCCGGTGGTACACTACTCTTTCGAACAGTTTTGATAACCCTGAGAGAAGGCTAATTGGTCGATAACTTGAAGGAGATGACGGATCCTTCTCAGGTTTCCGGATTGGTATGACTTTAGCTAACTTCCAACACGAGGGGAAGTAGCCAAGTCTGAGGCACTGATTAAAAATCAGTGCCAGATGGTTGTAGAATCTGGAACTCAAGTGTTTGAGTTCCAGATTCAGGATGTTGTCAAAACCTGGGGCCTTCATGTTTTCAGATGATTTGATATAGGCCAACAGTTCGTCAGCCGTAATCTCGGATTCCTCTGGAAAAATGTTAGAAATCTGAAAAAGATTGGTTGCATTTTCAGCAACCTCAGATTCATGAGGGCTGACGATGTTTTGTCCCAGATTATGGGAGCTGACGAAGTGTTGACCTATCGCGGCAGCCTTCTCTCCAGGAGTTATCAGATGAACCACTGGGTTCCCGGGACGGTGGAATGGGCCTAGACTTGTTTTTAAGAAATTTTGTAAGTTTCCATTAGGGCTTAGCACAATCTGGGAGAGAGCGGATCTTACTAGCAAAATCGTTATTTCTTAGATCCACCATCCTGGCCTGAATGATCTTTGTTAATCGATTACAATTGGTCTTCAAGTTAGGCAGGCCAGTACGCTGGTACTGCCTACGAATGGTGTTACGGAGTCTAATGAGATCTTTGGTAGGGCTGTCAGGTTCAGAGTGTAACTCACCTGTCTGGATACTGGCACGTGTTGTTCCCTGGCCCGGGAAATCGCCTCCTCGATGGTTTGTAGACACCGGTCAACGTGTTCGGACGTCCCCGGTTGGACATCGTAGTCGATGGTTGTGTCGACGCAGTGTTGATATTGCGTCCAGTTGACTAGATGGTAGTTGCGCCGGGAAGCTTCGAATCGGTTTACCGAGAATCCAACTTCGGCCACCACCGGGTAGTGGTCCGAGCTCAGCTCCTGGAATGCCACAGGTTGCGAGATGTTGTGTCCCATGTTGCTTACGAAGATGTCGATGGTCGCATGGACCCCAGACCGACTCAACCGGGTGGGAGAGTCCGGGGCCAAGATGGTATAGAAATCTAATGCCATACAGCAGCGCTCTTTTGTATCTTTTCAGGTTAAAGCAGAATGATGTGCAACCAAGTGATACTCGATTATGAGACTGGGTTTGGGAAGAACGTTTATTTCATGAAAACAGTAATAAAATAAACACTTACCACTTTTTTAATAGCTTAACGTTAGAAATCATCAGTCGGAAGCAATTTTATAGATGCGTAGTAAGATTTCTGATCGATTGGTGATAAAATTATTGAAATTGGTCCAGGAGCAGCGGAGTTATTAATGTTCAAAATCTTTCATAATGTTGTTTCATGTTCCATTTTCGGTTTTCACAAAGTGTACCCCCAGTATAGAAATGAAAGACGTAGTCCTACGTCAAAATGTAACTCAATTACTTTTAGTAGAAAACGAAACATACCCGATATAACGATATAACCATTACTTTAGGAAACCAGAACGTAGAAAAGTGTGATAGAGTCAGGGATATTGCATAAAACGTTTCTGCTACAATTTTCACGATCCGTATACAATTAAAACATTGTACATTGCTTATGTAAGATCGATATTATAATTTACAGCATAATTTGGTCTTCTTTTTCAATCACACACGTTCAAAAAACAGTTTCTACTGTATGCACTCCGAAAGTTAGGTTGGAATGTCTTTCCTCTGCCATCTTACACAGCTCGATGTATGCTCATAAATATCCAAACTTTAAAAGAGCGTCGTGAATTTGCTATGGTTTCATTCTTAAACGATACCGTATGACATCGCATTGATTCAATAGAATTGTTGTAATTCTTAAATCTATGTACACCATCTAGGCATCTACGAAATAGAAAATATTTGCTACAAACCGTCTTCGTACGAATTATGCCAAATTTGAACCCTTGACCCAAATGAAGGACACATACAATAAGCACTGCGATAACATTGACTTTACAATGACAAAAAAAAAACAAATTAAAGCAATATTTTAATTCCTATTAAAATTTACCATACATTGTACATTACATATTTCTTTATCAATCAGCCCAGTTCAAACCGTGCCCCATTACCCTATCCATAACTTTGTTGATAACATTGTCAAGGACCGTTTGGTGCTTATTGCATTTCTCTTATGAACCACAGTTGTAAAGTTGTCCGAGACCGTCGTCATCTCTTTCACCGAAACCGCGTCGTCCTTGTTGCGTTCGGATTTAACTCGGCTCTCTGTTTTGATCCTTTCGGCTTTGTTGTTCCTCTCGTCACATTGAAGTGCATCTCAAACAACCGGCACAAATGTCGGTAATACTCTCTCCGGAGAGAGAGTCTCCCGAAGCGACTTTTCCACCCGCACACAGCATAGTCACGCTCTTCGGGTGGAGAAGGATGTCAATTACCACCCACCACTCACGTGGCTGGCTGTCGGTTTTGCCGAATGGGGGTGGTGGTGATGGAATTCATCTCCACCGACGACGGAGGGATGCATCGGATCGTCGTGCTTGCTGGCAGCTGGCATCAGCAGCCGAGATTCAGTTTGATGCGAAATCTCACCCGGTGCGGTCGGTTATATGACGGTCGTTTTGTATTCGTGTCGTGATATATGTGAAGCGAGCTTTCTGTTCGGTAATCCTGACAGTAAAAGGATGCATCTGGTCGTACGGTCGTGGTCGTAGTTCGCGTGTCGATATTGACTGTTTTTGGACATAATAGCGGGCTGCTTCCCTTCCAAGGGTGCCGATGGTGGGAAGTGTGATTTTAGAGCAGCACGGTGCAGTTTAGATTGAAAGCATCACGTTTTTTGGTAGGTGTTGTGCATAATGGAAAATTGCAGTGCACTGTTGGTGCCAAGCCGGAAGAAGCTGGTGAATAAACGGCTTACGTGGGAAGGCGAAAAATTGAATTGAACGAGTGTGAAGGATTGACACCGGTCGGCACAGTTTTGCTGGCGGTAGCAGTGACTGTTTTAGTGAATATTGAGGGCTCAAAACGATGGATATTAGGCGCTTCGTTGGCACCCCGATAAGGCAAAATGCGTCACGTGACCTGTAGTAAAGCAGACCATATAGACCATAAAGGGGTTCAATGCCCGGTCCAGTTGAGGATGTTTGCATCATAAGCTTGTAAGATGAGGTGGTATCTGAAGATAATGGACTGTAAATGGTGGAGCTCTGCCATGAACAAGCAAAATGAAGCGGATTTCTAATTTTTGTTTGATGTATTGATGCTGTTCAAGAAAAAAATAGCATAAGATTGTAGAACAAGTATTCGATCACGGCTTTATTTTCATGTTATATTTTGAAACCCGATTTTTTTTTGATTTTTTTTAAATTAAGCTATGAAGAATTCTAGCATGTTTGCAGCAATTCTTAGCTTTGAGCAATGATTCTAATAATTTTTCCTGTAGTAATGGCTGAATTGATTTTACTTCATAATCGTATTTTTTTTCATCATACGTTTAAATACTTCAAATTTGAAACATCCACCATGGCAACACATGTATTGGAAATTAGATTTCTTGAGACAGGTGCATATTTTTCCAGATTTATAGTTGCATTATCAAAATGAAGCATATCGAGATGAGTCATTAACTTCTCAACCATTTTAGTCTTGGTTCAAAAAATGTGTTGTAAGATGCAAAATCAAAGAAAGAGCATTACTCCAAACACGATGCCTCCGGTAAAATGTGTAACGGCAAATTGGCAATGTTGGAAAAATCATTCCTCTGCATTTTATCAATAGATTTTAAATCTATTGTAACCGAATAAATCTTTGAAGTATGCAGTTTCAAATGGCGCCAATAGTTTTGAAATTTGTCAATAAATGGCTGAGGTATAATTTTTCAAACACTGTAAGTTTGCCGTTACACATTTTACAGGAGGCATCGCGTTTGGAGGGTTAATAGATCTTCATTAATTTCAATGTGTGTGTGGTGTGGTGAATCGACCTTTCTTAGGTTTGTTTTTTTAGGTGCTCTTGACTATTTTGAAGTCATTTTAGCGTTTTCGGCTATTTTGGTCTTTCTAAAGCCGGTTATGGCGTTTGTATGGTCATGTCTACAGTTCGATAACTTTTTGTGCGTTTTTATTTGAGGCTGTTTTTTTTTCAATTTTAAAGCGGTTTTGGTGTTATTTCGGCACTTGTGACGATTTAATGTTATTTTAGCGTGTTTGAGGTAGTTTTTAGGTTTTGAAGGATTGAACGCTAGATTTGCATTTTCATTGTTATTTTGAATATCCATTAGACTCATGCAAAATTTGAAATTTTCGCTCCACAGTGTTCAAACGGTTTCAAATTGGGTCCTGATTAGCTTCCAAAATTTTAAACTCATTTGATAAGAAACTGACTTGACACAAACCATTTGAAAATTATATAGGAATAACTATGGGAAAACAAAACTTTTGTCTTTTTCATTGTCTTCTAGCCTTTTTACATATTATACTGTTAACAAATTCTATTGCTATTCTTATGGGAATTTTTATCAGCTACAACTTTGCATAAAATCGTTTTTCAGCCAAACGTCAAATTAAATAGTTATTTTCTAATAATAGGTATTTTTCATTTATAGAAATGAAACTTCGTTTTAACAAGACCAGTTCTTTTATTTTGATTCATGATTAAAATTTGGAGAAATGACCCGTTCGGCGAAATGACCCATTCGGTGAAATATTCTTCGGCGAATCGTCCTTCGGCAAAACGTCCTTCGAGGAAACGTCCTTGGGCGAAATGGCACAGCCCCGCTTATAACGCCATTGAAATGTAGATGATTCGATTTTGGTGTTTTGAAGCAATTTTGGAGTATATTAGTCATTTTGCGGTATTCATGATCATGATTCATGGTGTTGTTTCTGGAATTTTGTCATGAACTTTTAAAGGCTGGGAATTCTTACAGCCAATGATCTTGCTTGGTTTTAAGGCTATTTAAGCTTGTTGAATGCATTTTTTGGAGAATATTTCAGGCTAGGCGTTTTTGGGCTATTCTAGAAATTTAGGTGATTGAACGCTATTATTATGGCCGTTATTTTTAAGGTCAGATTCATATGTTATAAAACAATTTTAGAGTTTAGGCCATTTTAGAGTTCTTATGTTACTTTCAAGTTAAACAATTTTTGCCATGTGCAATTGTTTATTTTTGCTTCTATCCTAAGAAACAACAAATAGGGGAAATGGCTCTAATGTTGGCCTATGAATCTAAGATTGGGCGCATCGCTAAAAATCTGCTATTTATCAATTTTATCTAGATGAACGCGTCATTGGGATGGTACTAATCGATATTGTTTTTTTTTTATTGAAAATTTAGTCGATTGCTGAATTTATGTATGGGCCCAAATTAGGGGCATTTAGACCAACATTACATCTATTTCCCCTATCTGAAAATATTTAGCCAAGGTTCTAAGTATTCTTAAGTATTTGTCAATTTTCTCAAACTTAAGAAAGTGTTGACTTTAGTAGTTTTAAACATTTTGCGAGATACAATTAATTAAATTTAATGCTTCGATGCTACCCCACTTAGCATATTAACGTTTGGCGTATGGAATTTTGACTGAATGCATGTTTGGCATATGGACATTTTGCAGAATGGATGTTTGGCCGAATATTTCAAATTTCATAACACAAATGTTTGCTTCAAATACAGTCAACTATTCAGAAAGGTTAAGGCTTCTAAATATTTTTTTTTCGTGAACGGATATCGTGATCATGATAAATGATCAAAAATATTAGGACCAGGATTTTTTTCTTTATTTAGGAGATTTTCAGCCGTAGGCTGGTTCATCTCCGATTTGGACCAGGATTTGTGATGTGTGATAAAGAAATATTAATTTTATTTTAATAATTGCAGCGTATCGAAGCAAACCATAATTAGATGTGAAAGTGAGGTAAACATTTAGTCATTTCGACGTTTAATAAATTATAAAGTAGAATTTTTCAATAACTAGTGGATGGCTTTAATATGTTAACGAACAGATAACTCTATAAAAATCAAGGAGTCAACTCCGGTTAAGGAAATCTTTCGTGTTGGAAGTTTTCTCGATTTCCCTAGGCATAGAGTATCATTGTGCTTGCCACACAATATACAAATGCATGCATTGGTATTGGCAGCAAAAGCTCTCAATTCCCAACTGTGGCATTTAGAACACTAATTTGAGAGTACGCAATAAGCTAATATACGCTAAACAATAAGTTTGAAATGCAAATAAGAACAAGAAAAAGAGTCACCTCTAAGAGAGAGATTTTCTAGTTTGTTTGATTGGATTATTCTATTCGTCAAAGAGTTTTTGAGGTGTGACTGACTGATTTTTGAGAATTTCTGTTGGATCGCTCAAATTGCGTCTAAGTTTGATTTAAATGCTTCTTCGGCATTTTATCCTATGACCTACAATCTTCATTTCAGTAAATGAGTTACAGTTTGCTTCAAGGCAAATAGAATGGTAGTGTTAGTGTCCCTAATGCCGACCTTAGTGTCCATAATGTTGAGCCCAAACATAAATTTCGAAGAAGTGCATTTTTTAATAATTTTTACTACCATATAATCTCTTGATTATACAGTAGTAAAAATTATTCATTTCCGGGAATTCTCGGAATGTTTGGAAAATGGAAACACTAGGGCCCCAGGCAGGGTAAAAGGTGGCGACCGAGCGGACAAAAGATTTTATAAATAATTTTTATTCCTTTTGCTTGGTCAGCTTGGTCGCCAGCTTTTACTCTGCCTAGGAGCCTAAAGGAAGATTTATAAATGGCGTAGCATTTTAGGGTGACCAGCAATGGTAAAAAAAGGGGTTCCAAATTATGTGTTTTATTAAACGTAAATAAGCGTTTAACGTATGTTTACGTTTTTTGAAGTATGTACTTTGACCGTTCCCCTTGAATAGTGTTTTTTTTTTTCTTTATTTAGGAGAAGATTGAATTGTGTTTTCTACATGGCTGGGCATCTTAAAATAATATAATAGATAGTAGTTTTTGGAAATTTTCATTTCAAAAATGACTTTTCCAAAACTTCATAACTTTTGAAACACTGGGCCGATTTCAAAGATCAAAACCTCAAATGAAAGGTGGTTACAAATACTCAAAAACCAAAATACAATAACAACAAAGAATTAAGATTTTCAGCGATGTATTTTTTTCGTTTTTGAGTTATATTTTTTGAAGTTATCAAGTTTTGGATTTTTGCTCAATACTAGACTGCGACTAGACTACCATGCGTCTCCATAGATTTATAGCGACTGTAACATGGTCACATATTGCGGCCTCTATCTACAAACCATGAAAACTATAAAAAAAAACAAATACTATCTTAGTTGGAGATGCTAATTTAAAAAAAAAAACAGACTAAGGTGGTAATTTTTAAACGATAGATGAGAAGATGAAAATATAGAGTTGAACGTTCCGTTAGAGTACGGCAGTGTGAAAATTGTATTTAGAGAGTAGAAAGCGAGCAAGGACAACTTTTTAGGAAGGTACAAATCGGTTTGATTATCTCTCTTTACCAAACCCCCACGTTGGAGAGTTTGGTAAAGAGAGATGATCAAACCGATTTGTACCATTGTTTGATATTTTGATTTTTGAAATCTGCCCAGTGGTTGAAAAGTTATGACGTTTTGGAAAAGTCATTTTTGAAAAAAATCGATTTTTTGGACCACTCTAACACCCTTATGACAAAATAAAAAATACAAGTCTAATATTTTGCGATAAGGAACAAAACTATTGTTTTTTAACAAAAAAATTCAAACAAAACAGACAATTGTTGAGCTATGTTATGAGATTTTGAAAATGTTGAATTTTTCTCAAATTTGTAATTTTTTTTTT